TTTATTTGAAATGTGGTGCTGGAGAAGAGTGCTGAGGAATCCATGGATGGCCAAGAAAACAAACAAATGAGTCCTAGAACAGATCAAGCCTGAAATCTCCCTGGAAGCCAAGATGATTAATCTGAGACTGTTATACTTTGGCCACATCATGGGAAGGCATGGCTCACTAGAAAAGACAATAATGCTAGAAAAGGTGGATTTTACTTATGTATTGTGTCTGTGTAGTCGGTGTGCTGCTTTTAATGCTTTGATTTTTTTTTTACTTTGTATAAAAATGTATTTTTAATTGTTATGTTTTAATATCAGTGTTATTTAATTTTTTTTAAAATTTTTGTAATTAATGTTTTCATTCTGTCTTTTTAAAATTATTGTAAGCCTCTTTGAATCCCATTTTGGGTGAAATGCAGGATATAAATCCAATAAAGAAGGAAGGAAGGAAGGAAGGAAGGAAGGAAGGAAGGAAGGAAGGAAGGAAAGAAAATAGACCATGGCTCAGTTAATCTTAATCATGCTTCACTGAAACAGCTTCAGAAACTATGATCTGAAGTTGGCTGCTTTCAAAAAGCTATTGTTAAGAGGGTAGAACCAGGCAGAGGAGGCTAGATTTTGATTGAACATTAGAAGAAAAAATTATTGACATTGGGAGTGGCTCGGCAATGGCACCAATTGGCTAGAGAGGTTGTGAGGTCTCATTCTCTGGATGTCTTTTTAAAAAGAGGCTGGACAGCTACCCATTGAAAATGTTGTAGTTGGAGAATCTGCACTGAGCAGTGAGTTGGCACTTTGGCCCATGGGATCCCTCCCAAATCTGTGATTCTAATCTAAAATGCAAGGAATTGTTTTTATATTCCTCCTTGTGGTCATGCTGGAGGAAAAGTAGGAGACATAAGCCTGAGGAATGTCTTCATAATGATATATTATAAGTTAGTTTATTTTTTAACAAGTTCTTTATGTTTTATTATATAATGTTATGATAAAGTGGGCAAAGATTTCTCAAGACATCCGAAAGAAGGCATTCAGATGAAACAAAGGGTTCAAACAGTGAGCAAGGTTATCAAGGTTCTGTGTCATCTTCCAAGCTTAAGCAGAAAATAATTTTTAAACCAAACACTGAATGTGGCACAAAACCAAACCACTGTGTTCACTCCACTCCAAGCCCAATATGGATCAGCCATATAATAGCATTTTAAACATATAAAGTATAAGGGAGATAGCAAACTCAACTGATAAGGAAGTAAAGACTGAGAGACAAAAAAAAACACTACTCCTTTTTTCCTTGCATTAATCAGATACCAGGATCTTTTAAAATATCCTGAAACGTTTTGCCGTAGGCCAAGCTAAACTAAATCACTTAATCTAGGAGGGTACTGAGTATAAAAGCAAAGTTAGCTTATAGAATAGTTTCCCCAGGGAACAAACAGCCTGTTTTCTTAGCGCTTATATTCATGCCAAGTTTTGATGTAATGACAAACTCCTCCACAAAAGGACTTGCATTTCCATGGGACTAGAAAAATTTACTCCCCAATCAAAAGGTCAAATATTACATCAAAAAAAACCTCAAGAGCCTAGAACAGGTGCTATGAGAAATCTCCACAGCAGAATGGATAAAAAGGTTAAGAGCCATTATTTTAATGACTAGCTTCAAACAAAATGTTCTGTATTTCAGATACATATGAATGCTGTCTCCACTTCTCAGTTGTAACTGTGATGTTTACATAGCTAGAAGAAGATTAAGAATAGGGAGATTAACTATGAAAGAACTAGAAAATATCCTAAAATGCAAAGATATACAACTGAGCACAAAAGTTAGAATCATACAAGCTATTGTATTCCCTATTACCATGTATGGATTTGAGAGCTGGACAGTTAAGAAAGAAGATAGGAGGAAAAACGATTCATTTGAGATGTGGTGCTGGAGAAGATCACTGAGGATTCCTTGGACAGCCAAAAAGGCAAACAAAATGGGTGCTAGAACAGATCAAGCCAGAAATCTCCCTGGAAGCCAAGATGACCAAATTGAGGTTGTTGTACTTTGGCCACATAATGAGAAGGCACAACTCATTGGGAAAAAAACCCAATAATGCTAGGAAAAGTGAAGGGGAGTAGAGAATACTGCATGCTAGATGGATGGACTCTATTCAGGAGGCTACAGGTAGAACAGTGGAGGTTAGGGAGCCTTGGAGATGTCTCATCCACAGGGTTGCCATGGGTCAAGATTGAGTCGGGGGTGGTTAACAACAAAGCTCTGCTAAGAACCTGTTGTAAAAATATTATGACTTCCTCATTATTCTGTAATGTTTTTGGTTATTACAGAATGGGGTGGCAACTGCTAGGTCTGGGAAGCTCCATCAGTCCTGTATGAATTTTAGAGGGATGCAGCCTCCAAAATGGCCAATAGCAGCCTCCATACCTACCTGAAACAGACATAAAACATGACAGGAAATGTTACTGGAGTTTTTACTCCATTTTAGCACTCCCTCACCAGTTTTAGTGATCTAAAACAAAGGTGAGGATCTTCTGAATAGCCAGCAGAATACCAGTAGTGTATCCTGGAGATTAGGAGATGCTACTGGCTGTTTTGGGATGAAAAAAGTGGATACTATTTTTCTGGAATAAGAGCCCTGGAGAACCCTGAGGCCACAAAAATAGCCTTGGGGATTCATGTGGCCCATGGGTCACATACTGTCTCCATCTGTTATAGATATTATTCCAAACCCTACAGGAATTTATCCTTTTTCTTTTTAATTCTGTTTTGGCTCCATTCCTTGCATCTCTTTCTATGAAAGATATAATGACCAGAATGTTTTCACATGGTTTTGGCTTGTATACTAGGCATGTCCTTTTCTGGAAAAAGCAGAGCTAGACACTGTCACCAGCACATCTTGGTTGGATTACTTACTTATTTATTGCATTTATATCCCTCCTTTCTCCCAAAATGAAATCCAAGGTAGCTAAACCTTACACAACACTTACTGGCTCTGCCACTGAAATGGTGAAAATTCATCCACATGAATGCAACCTCCCCCCCCC